AAAAAAAAAAAAAAAAAAAAAAAAAAAAAAAAAAAAAAAAAAAAAAAAAAAAAAAAGAATATGTGAGGCTGGGTCATTTATAAAGAAAAGAGGTTCATTTAGTTGATGGTTCCGCAGGCTGAGAATTTAAGGTCCTGGCCCTGGCTTCCAGCAAAGGCTTTCCTGCTGCGTCATCACGTGGCAGAGGAGGGCAAGTAGGAAGGAGACGCTTGTGAAAAGGGGAAAACCTGAGCTGCACCCTGGCTTTCTAACAACCCCCTCCCTCAGGAACTAAACCATTCCCTTGAGAAGTAATCCAGTCTCCTGAGAGCCAGTACTTACTGCTGTGATAACTGCTCCCAGCCACTCAGGAGGGTCCACCCCTGTAGCCCAAACAGCTCCCACTAGGCCCTGCCTCTCAACATCGCCATGCAGGGGAGCACATCTCCACATGAGGTTTGGGGAGGAACCAGTGGTACACAAACCACAGCACTCATGGCTGCATGCTGGCTCACGTCTGACCCATAGAAATGGATTGTTTTACATGTGTTTTTTTCACAGAGAAAAGTCCATACCCAGAAATCGTCTTCCTTGGAACAGGGTCTGCCATCCCGATGAAGATTCGAAATGTCAGTGCCACGCTTGTCAACATAAGGTATGCTGCTTTCCCACGAAGCATCCTTCCATCAAGGGCTTGTTTGCTTTTTACACACAAGTCCTGCTGTACTCAACCAGTAGATTTGAAAATGCAGCCGTATCAAGCCCTGTGACTTGTCATCTCCACTGGAGTGTCCAGGAGGAGCAGTGGCCTTACTGCATTTTATAGCCTTGGTAGCAAACATTTACTTGGGGAATTGCCAAAATTCATCCCGTTATGCCTTTCTCTTTTCTTTTTGAGACGGAGTTTCGCTCTTGTTGCCCAGGCTGGAGTGCAGTGGCACGATCTCAGCTCACCGCAACCTCTGTCTTCTGGTTTCAAGTGATTCTCCTGCCTCAGCCTCCCGAGTAGCTGGGATTACAGGCATCCACCACCGTACCTGGCTAATTTTTGTATTTTTAGTAGAGACGACGTTTCTCCATGTTGGCCAGACTCAAACTCCTGACCTCATGATCCACCCGCCTCAGCCTCCCAAAGTGCTGGGATTACAGGCATGAGCCATATACAGTAGTGACCAGATGGGCCCTGATGTCAGAAATGTACGATCTGGGGTATGTTTCTCTATGGATGAGGAAATACAGTAAAGCAGCTTGGAGTAAGCTGGGCTTTCACAGGGGCCAAGATCATGGGAGAAGGGCTTTTTGAGTTGCTGACCCGATACCCTGCAAATGGCCCTTGAACTAGCTGAAGCTGATGAGAAGGTGCTTTTGCTACCTTGCCACCCCGCTCCCTGCAACCCCCGGAAGGTAATGTCGCCCTGAGTCTTCTCTGCAAGTTGGGTGCAGCCCTCTCAGTCTTCATGGCTCCTCCCAAAGAAGGAGGGAGGCCAGAGCAGGCCAGCGCTCTTTCTACCTTGAAGCTCTCGCTATCTGTTATGTGAGATGGACTGCACATCAGAATAGCCCAAGAAGCTTGTCAGAATCCACACTTCCAGAGCCCTGCCTAAAAGCAAGTCAGAAGTCCTGAGTGAAACCTGGGAGTCTACGTTAACTAGCTCCTTGGATGAAGCACCTGCAGCCCGACCTGCACCAGGTGTCTTTGAGGACATGAGCTGAGGAAACCCTGGCTGCTTGAAAAGGGGAAAATCCAATGGCAGCTGGACCTAGAAACAGTCTCTTATGGCCTCGTGCCTGTCCTGGTATCCTCCACAGAGGGTGTGGCCACACAGTCAATCTACTTAGTCAGATTCATTGTTAGGACTAAATGCTTTACACGCCTCATAAACTTTTTTTTTTTGATGCCCAGCTTTTGTATAAGTGTACTTTAAAGGGTTTTAGGGTTCCATGGATAATTCTTTGCTGTAAAGAGGAGAGACACATATAAAATTACCTTTATGGTTAAATTAATTGGCTCGTATGTTAGCTCCTCAAAGAAAAGGACCAAGAGACAGAAATTTCTACAGAGGCTTCCTGGTCTTGTCCAAAGCAGACATCAGCCTCTGAACTGTCAGCAGCCTTCCCTGTGGCGGTGACTCTCTTGCTCTTCTCTTCTGTAGCCCCGACACATCTCTGCTGCTGGACTGTGGTGAGGGCACGTTTGGGCAGCTGTGCCGTCATTACGGAGACCAGGTGGACAGGGTCCTGGGCACACTGGCTGCTGTGTTCGTGTCCCACCTGCATGCTGATCACCACACGGTGAGTGCTGGGCTGGACCACGAGCCTGGAGGAGGCACTCCCACATTGACATGGTCCGTTGTCCTTGTCTTTTCCTCCAATTCCCAAACTTGCCCGGAGCTTTTGTTACTCTTCTCTAGCAAGGAAATGATCTTTTACAAAACTCCAGCACAGTCCTTCTGCATAACAAGAATGTCTTCTCCTTCTATTTAGTTTATTTCCTGCAGCAAGACAGGTTTGGGTTAACCTAGTCTTTCTTGAATCTTGCCGTCTCACACGGCCTGCTCAGAGGAGGCTTCGGCCAGATGCAGGAGGTGTGGCTGTGAGGCCCTCACCTTGGTCTCCTGGGGTGCTGGGCCCTGGGCTGTGCGCAGTTAACAGTATCCCTCTTCCCAACACGGGTCACGTTGCTTTCTGCCTCTGCCATTTCAGGGTCACAGCGCAGGGGGCTCAGAGTGTGCCGCCCCCACTGCGGCTGTGTTAAGAGGCTGATGGCTGACATAGGGCTGCAACTCCGGCAAGAGGGAGGACTCCAGACCCTAACCCAAAGGAGAAGAGCCTTGGGACCTGGCTAACGCCTGTCTCCTGTTTTCTTCCTAGGGCTTGCTAAATATCTTGCTGCAGAGAGAACGAGCCTTGGTAAGCGTGGCACTTGATTGACGTTTAGAGTTTCAGTGGGTTACGCATAATCCACCATACCTCTTGGCACTCCAGTTTTTATTGAGATGTTCTGTCGTTGACTCGGCACTTGGATTTTCTGTTTCAGGCATCTTTGGGAAAGCCATTTCACCCTTTGCTGGTGGTTGCCCCCACCCAGCTCAAACCCTGGCTGCAGCAGTACCACAACCAGTGCCAGGAGATCCTGCATCATATCAGGTGAGCGTCCAGGGCAGCCCAGCCCCCCCGGGCAGCTTGCTGCCACCTCCTTCAGAAGCTCAAGGTTGACGCTGGGGCAGTTAACAATATCCCCCAGCAGCCTTGCCCTTGACATTGTCCCAGATGGCAGAAGCAGGGGGGAAGTGCTTTGGCTGAAAGAAATCATTAGATGGTTCCCATTTAATGCTTATTTTCTTAGAAGCATTTCCTCCCAGTCCTCATTTGAGTTCTGAGCTGCTTTCTAGACTTTGACCAACTTTTCTTCATGAGACAATTCTAGAGCCAAGCACCCAAATAGTGGCTAGCGCAGAGACTATCCACACCAGGTATGTGGCCAGCTCGGGGGTGGCACCGTCCTCACCCCAAGGGGAATGAGTCCCCCCTGCTGGAGTCGGCCATGGCCTGTGCTGCCTGAGCTGGAGGCAGCGTTCACCTGCTGGGTTCCTCCCAGGGGCCTGGAGGCTTTGGTTTGGCTTTTTGTTTCACAGCTGTTATCTTAGTGACCATGATTTAAATCATGTTTCCTCCTAAGAATGATTTTGGGCCTCTCCAGCCAAAGACTTAAACTTTGGTTCCAGGTGTCCAAGAAATGTTTATTACCATTTTAAATGTTTTGTCTTCTTATAGTATGATTCCTGCCAAATGCCTTCAGGAAGGGGCTGAGATTTCCAGTCCCGCAGTGGAAAGACTGATCCGTTCGCTGTTGGGAACGTGTGATTTGGAAGAGGTAAGGGGCACAGCTGCAGGCATTGTGGGGCTGAGGTGGGGAGCAGAGCCACAGGCCGTCCAGCCCTGCCCTTTTAGTTTCAGACCTGTCTGGTGCGGCACTGCAAGCATGCGTTTGGCTGTTCGCTGGTGCACACCTCTGGCTGGAAAGTGGTCTATTCCGGGGACACCATGCCCTGCGAGGCTCTGGTCCGGATGGGTGAGTAGAGAAGAAGCAAGCCACCGTGAGGTTGCCCTGGGGTTTGTGTAGCTGGAGGCAAATGCAGGTGAGCTTGCAGGGAAACATCAGCAAAGGCAGCAGACTCAGGTCCCCACCCTGGGAGTCCTGGTTGTTGTCCTAATAGGCAGACACAGGGCCGGGGGGGCTGAGTGTTGAGACCAATACATAGCATGTGACCAAGGGCTGTGTGCTGCTCTCGCAGAGACTTGTGCTTCTTCTCCAGGGAAAGATGCCACCCTCCTCATACATGAAGCCACCCTGGAAGATGGTTTAGAAGAGGAAGCAGTGGAGAAGACACACAGGTAGCAAAGGCCAGTTAGTCCTGGTCACCCATATCCTCTCCCTCCCCCAGCACGTGAAACTGAGCAGCCGTATGTTTGTGTTTCCTCTGATATGGGGCTGCCCTGCTTCCTACCAAGGGCTGTAGGGGCTTCCTTGACCTGTGGCAATGCTCAGGCCCTTGGCCTTTATTTTTGCAGAATTTTCTAGGCAGTTTTCTAGAACGAGGTGCAGTTTTTTTAAAGCATTTAGAAATAGGCTGAATAAACTATAAGCCATGTCAAGGAATTACCAGGGGCAGGTGGGGGCTTTGGGACGGAATGTTGGGCTGTTAATTCCAATGAAAGCACATTACCCCCAGTGGGTCCTGTGCTTTCTCAGGTACCCTTGTGGACAGATTCGGCAGCAAACACAGAGGGCGGGCTTCATTCAGGGGAGTGTGTGGAGGATCTGGCCCTAAGGGGAGATTGTGTTGGCTGCAGAGGTGCCCGTTAGGAAAACTCACCAGCTTCTCTGAGTGTCCTGGCAGTTGAGGGCCAGGGGCTGTACCACTCTCTGCTTTGCAGTCTTGCACTTGGATTCAGCTTCAGTCTGCTCTGTCCTTTGCCCGCAGCACAACCTCCCAAGCCATCAGCGTGGGAATGCAGATGAACGCAGCATTCATCATGCTGAACCACTTCAGCCAGCGCTACGCCAAGGTCCCCCTCTTCAGCCCCGACTTCAACGAGAAAGTCGGAATTGCCTTTGACCACATGAAGGTCTGTACGTCACGCAGGCAGCATGGGGCGGGGACAGGGCAGGGAGATGGGATGCTACACACTGAGAAGAATGGTCAGCTGGAGTTTGCTTTCTGGTTTGGAGCCACCCAGGGAAAAGGATACCTACCTATCACCAACCAGGTTGAACCATGTTGGGTTTGCTGTTAAGAACCACCTCCAGCAGGGGCCAGCTAGTTTTCAGTTTCAGTTCACTGGAAATTTCTGAGAGTCTTTTTAGACCTGGACTGCTCACATACAGTCATGGCATTTGAGTTTCAGCACAGACCTGTGAGACAGGTGGTTGCCTCTTGTGAGTGGGAAAGCCAGTCCTGACGCTGGCCTTCCGGAATGAAGGGGCAGGGCACAAGCCAGGCCTGGATTTTCAGGAGCCTGATTTGAGAGCATCTGGCCTACCCTCCCTCCCCTCTCCTGAGGCCCTTCGCCAGGCCTGGGGAGACTCTGACTGTTCTTTAGAGGGCTGCCTCCATGCCATTCTTTTTTCCATTTCAGCTGTGGCCTATTGGCTTGCACTCAGTAAGAAAGGGGAGTTGGCGCTTTCATGTGGGCACGATTGCCTCCCTCCCAGCTCCTGTCCCCCACCCCTGCCCCTCTGAGGTGTGGCTTTGTCTTGTGTTGTGTCTTCTAGGTCTGCTTTGGAGACTTTCCAACAGTGCCCAAGCTGGTACCCCCACTGAAAGCCCTGTTTGCCGGCGACATTGAGGAGATGGAGGAGCGCAGGGAGAAGCGGGAGCTGCGGCTGGTGCGGGCAGCCCTCCTGTCCAGGAAGCTGGCAGGTGGCCCGGAGGATGGGGAGCCACAGCAGAAACAGGCCCACACAGACGAGCCACAGAGCAAGAAGGTCAGAGCCCAGTGAAGAGCCGGAAGTGACCCTGGCCTCTGAAGGCTGTGTGTCTGCTGTCTCTCACACACCCTTGTATCTGCCCTCCTTGCTAGTAGAAGCTGGACAGTCCACCCAGGAGGCAGCTCAGGATGGGTGGTATGGAGTTGTGCCAAGGCCTGGGCTCCCAGATAAGCACCGGTCCATAGACACCGCTTATAACTGGTGCCTGGCACAGCCGCGGGACAGGAGGCTGCTGCACTGAAACAAGCAAATGAACTCATTCCATTGCAAGGCAGTTTTTCAGGAAGTCATGGAGACACAGACGGCAGCAGCTTTCCTCTAATCCAGCAGAGTGATTCCCCTGCACTCCAGAGACAAGCCATGCACCAAGAACACGAGGTCTAAGGGCCCGGGACTCAACGAGAATAGTATTTCAGCTGCAATAAAGATTGAGTTTGGAAATCTGAGTTCTTTCGCTTCCTCCTGCTGTGGTTACAGAGCAGGGTCTGCTGCACGCTGCCTTGGAGAAGGCTCTCTGTGCTGCGGGTGGCAGCTGCCTGGTACCCAGGGGCCTTCGAAGTCAGCTCCCATTGAATGAGCACCTCTGGAACCTGTCCTCAGAGAGCCACCCTCACTTGCCAAGTCTTCTGACAGAACTCAGCTGTGCCAGCTGACAGCCTGGCATGCTTTCCCTGTCAGGGAGAGCCCAGCCAGGCTGGTGTCATTGGTCAGGGAAATGCAGGTCTTCTGGTTGTTGTGAGTGAGTAAAAGTGGAAACAATAGATTTGCTCCCTCTTGCTTCCATGCTGAGAATGAGGAGCACTTTGCCCTTGAAGGTTTTGAGAAATGTCACACTGGGCTGGTTTCCTTTGCCCTCCTTGTGGGATTTACAAACACGGATTAATGCTTGAAAAATCGAGAGAGCATGTTCAAAGCTGAATTTAGAATTTACTGTGTATTCTCCCTACCCAGGAGAATATAAAAAGAGCTTTAAAAACTCAAGTGACAAACGAGAGATGATAACCAGGGACTTGGCTTGACAGTGGTGGTGACCAGGCTCCATCCTGGCATGCATTTGAGATTGACAGCCATGTCCCCACAGGTTTATTAAAGCAAGAACGGATGCCAAGCTCAGGGATAATAAATCTATTTTAATAACATTACTTTTGACAACAATTTGTACATGTATTTAAAGATAACTTTCAACCCCCACCCTTACCCCAGACTCCATTACAAATTGAGGCGTGAACTGCCCTTGCCAGGAAGTGAGCAAAGCTGTAACATCAAAAGTCTGCACGTCCCACTCGGAGAAGTGTGACTTTACACCGTGTTGGGAAAAATAACTAAGCATTTCAGTTTTTCATTGTACACCTGTACATTGGTTTAGATTGAATGGCTCAAATTAAACAAATATAGAGAGATTTCATATATACAAATATTATATCATGTATAGGTATATTATATCTATTTTAAAAGGATAAAATTTTAAACTTTGAAGTTGCATGCATGGACCACATCTTTTCTCACTCCCCTAATCCCCAGGTGTGAAGAGGCTCCCCGGTGCCCTCCCGGCCCTCGTCCCCATGACTGGATGGGACTTCATGAGAAGGGATGAGCGGCTGACGCTGGTGAGCAAAGCAGGCCACGCCGCAGGCCGAGCCCGTGGGCCGGTGTCTCCGTGGCTGGTTTTGCTTTCTTCCACATGCTTTGGGTAACGTAATTATTGCTATTCAGTTTTAACCTCCAGAAAGAAGAGACAGGCTCTAGGACCTCACAGACAGTGAGCTGGGTGCGTTTAGGTACCTAGAGGGGTAAAATTACTCTCATACAGCCAATCTTTGGGGACGTGGAGGCCACCTTTGGGCCCTCCAGACACTGTCAGGATTGTTTTGCAGATTCAGAAGTATAAAATGACTGTAATAGGAGCTTTCAGTCACACAGTGGAAAAAGGAAAACTTAGGAAGTGAAACAAATTTTGTTTTCAGTCATTTACTTTGGAGCCTACTGAAGGGGGTGGCCTGAAAGGTTTTCCAGTGGCAGCCCCCCCCCCCCAGCCACAACCAGTAGCTGGCAAAGGTCAGTGGCCCAGGACTGCTAGAATCCTGGACCTGGTCCAGTTGTGGGTGAAAGGGCCTACTGTCCTGCTTCCTTTCCGTGGCTGTTAAACTGATACTGCAAGACCTGACAAGAGCCCTCGAGTCTAACCAGGCAAAGCAAGCCTCTCCCGCACCACCCCCGACCCCGCAAAGGACGTTCCTGACCAGCCTTGGGTGGAGAGGTGGGTGCCCGCTTGGCATGGAGGCTGAAAGTGGATCAAAAGAGGCACAAAGTCAAAAGGCAAAGGTCAAACAAAAGGCCGAAGTCACCACCCGAAAGGAACAAACAAAATCTGCACCACCAGCATCACCACACGGACTGGAGATCACAAGTTTCTGCCAAACTCCAACTTCGTGTTGGCAGTGGCAGGAAAGAGCCAACAGAGAACACTTGGCAAGCTCACGGACGCTGCTCCTGGCGGCGTTCCTGGGGCCCGTGATGTATGTACACGCGAGTCAGGATGGGCAGTACCATGTCAGAGGGCGGTGCTCTCAGACTCCTCCTCCGAGTCCCTCTTGTCAGTCACAGAGTGTCGCCGCACGTGCTCCAGGGGACTCAGGCGGAGCGTTGACCCAAGCTCTATGTGGATCGAGGGGATATCAAAGTGGACAAGATCTGGAAGGCGGCAGAGAGAGGTGGTTGAAAGGGGGCTTCCCGGCAAATGAGAAGCGAGTTGCAGGCAAACACAGTCAGCCTTAGGAAGCAGGGGTGGTGGTATTCTAGGGATAGATCATTTGGAAGTCAGTTTAAGCATTTGGCTGCACAATCAGGTTGTGGTCATGCCTGCCTCACTTCTACCCCATACATTGGTAGAACCAAAGCACCCAGGATATGCTGCTGTGGTTCAGAGGAAGGCCAGAACAGCGCTTCCTCCCAAGCCACAGGGTGCTTTCTTCTTGATAAGAAGGATGCTGAGTAGGGTCTCAATGACATCTTTTGGGGGATCTATATCAGACTGCATTTCATTCCCCAGAATCTTCAAGGACAGGGCATGAGGCAGTGGAAAAGGACCCCTTTCTCCTCTCAAGCCTGTGAGTGACTAGGGGAACCCTGAGCCTGTGTCCTGACTCTAAGAAACAGTTGCATTTTGGATGGCTGACATGGGCAGAGGAGAAGGCCTCCCTCAGGACCCTGGTCATCATTGGTGCCAACTGTCCCTGACTGCAGGAAAACTGCCACCTCTAGTTACATCCTTATTGGGAGCATTAAAAGATCATTTTTTCCTGGCAAGATAATCAGGAGAAATATACTTGAAATTAATAGCTCAAGTGTCTGGACATCTGTAAGTCAGCAAAGATGACAGAAGGCCTCAGCCTGGCAGCTGAGTGGACACGAAGCCTGTTTGCCACACCATGTGAAAAACAGCCTTGCTGCTGCAGCCACCGCCCTGGGGGACGCTGATGAGGCTGAGCTTGCTGACTCCTCTGGCATGTGCTACACGGAGAATCACAGATCCCCTGGGTCCCTTAGTCTCATCATGTGCCTCTTTTGATCCACTTTCAGCCTCCACTGTCCTGTCCTTTGCCTGCTTATTTATTTATTTATTTTTGAGACTGAGTTTCCCTCTTGTCACTCAGGCTGGAGTGCAGTGGTGTGGTCTCTGCTCATTGCAACCTCCACCTCCTGGGTTCGAGCAATTCTTCTGCCCCAGCCTCCTGAGTAGTTGGGATTACGGGTGTGCACCACCACACCCGGCTTTATTATTAATTTTTTATTTTTAGTAGAGATGCGGTTTCACCATGTTGGCCAGGCTGGTCTCCAACTCCTGACCTCAGGTAAATCACCCACCTCGGCCTCCCAAAGTGTTTAGATTACAGGCATGAGCCACCACGCCCAGCCTGCCTGCTTAGTTTCTGGCCCTCACTTAGCCTTGCAAGGCCAGGAGCAACATTTCAGGAGGCAGAGGAAGGGAACATTGTTCAGACTGAGGAATACCATACTGAGTGTACAGACATACATTTGGACACTGTCCTGAAAGACATCATACAAACACGGAAGCTCTGGGACAAAGGTCCTCCCTCGTCCCACCCCCCAGGCAGTCCTCATGTCCTTCCGGTCTGATGGAGAAGCAGAGATTTGGGAGGTGGGGGCTGGAGGAACAGCCAGTGCCACTGAAGCAGTGCCTTTCCCCTATTGCCTGGGTCATCTGCCTGCACAGGCGTGACGCTGAGTGGCCCAGGGCCCACCTCACTGTACAGGGTTCACTATCAGGTAAGAGCACAAGCTCCCCTGCTTAAAAATCCCAA